TTCCCCTCCCTCCTTCCCTCCCTCCCGCCCGCGCGCGCGCGCGCTCACTCGCTCGCTCGCTCCGTCAGCTTGAAGATCAGCTCGCGGATGCCCAGGATGATGCGCTTGCCCAGGGTGCTGCTGGTGAGCTTGGCCTCGGCGGCGGGCAGCAGGGGCGCCAGGGACTCGTCGGGGACACGCATGTTCAGCGGCGGGGAGTCCTCTCGCTCGTCATCGCCCTTCTTCTGCCTCCTCCGGCGCCCTCCGTCTGGAAACAGGGAAGAGAGAGACGATATGATAATGCTATAACATAAGCGGCTCCATGACGGTTTAGAGCAGCGTGCGTGATATATGTCTGGCTCGTGCGCTCGGGAGGCTGAGTGTGTTTGCGTGTGATTGCGAATTATAACCGAGTATTTATTGTAGTTTGTGTGCGTCTGTTTCAGTGTGTTTGCTGCTGTCGAGGCGAACGGATGCGCGCCTGTTTGCCGCGAGATTTATGAAGGAGCAAATGGGAGTTCTCAGGATATCTCATTTCCCTTCCTCACGAAGGATACACACTCAAGTAGATAGAGAGATAGATACAGAGATAATCAATATAAAATATATATATATATATATATATATATATATATATATATATATATATATATTATATATATATATATATATATATATATATATATATATATATATATATATATATATATATATATATATATATATATATATATATATATATATATATATATATACACACAAACACACACACGCACACACACAACACACACACATATATACACACATATCTATATATACATACATATGCATATACATACACATGTAAGTGTGAATGCATATCTATTCTTAAACGTTCGCGTCACCAACCTAACAATTCACGTACGTTTGCCGACTTGTCCCCCAATTTGTCACCCCCCCCCCCCCCCCCTTCCCGCGATCTATCCCCGTCCGCCTATCTATCGAAGTCCGATCTATCAGAGGCTCCTTCCGCCCCGCTCATCATCGCCTCGAAGACGCCGCACTGGAACGCGGGCGCGCGGGCCGCGCGCGGGCGGGAGCCGATTTCGATACAGATTGTCTGTTGAACCGTGATCGACCTTCCTCCCCCCCCCCCTCCCCTCTCCCTTGGCCTATCCCCTCGCCCCTCCCTCTCTTTCTCCCCTCCCTGTCCCCCTGTCTGGACTTCCAGTTCTCTCCTCTTCCCCGCTCTCCTTCTCGGACCCTCCTCTCCCCTCACTTCCTCCTCTCTCCTCTCTTCCTCCTCTCCCCTCACTTCCTTCTCTTCATTCTCGTGCTCCTCTCCCTTCTTTTCCCTCTTATTTCTCCTCTCTTCCTTCTCTCCCCTGTCTTCCCCCTCCTTTGCCAGACTCTCCTCCTCCCCCTCCCCTCCCTCTCCCGCCCTATTCCCATAATGTCCCTGCTGGTGTCCTCTCTCCATCCTCCCTTCTCCCTTCCCTAGTTTTTTGACCTTCTTTCTCCCTTTTTCTTTCCTTATTACTTCTTTCCTCTTCCCCCTCCCTCCTTCTTCCTCTTCTTCTTCCCTTTTCTTCCTCTCTTTCGTGTACTTCCCTTCTCCACTCCCCGCCATACCCGCCCCTTCTCCCCCCCCCTCTTTGAATCCCCGCTCCATTATTCCTCACGTATGTTCCACCATCCCTCCCCTCTCCTCCCTTCCTCCCTCTCCCCCTCTCCTCCTCTCCTACAACACCTCCCATCCTCTCTCTCCCCCCCATCCACAGCTTCTACCCCTCCTCCTTTCCCTTCCACCCTCTCCTTCCCATCTCCTCTTCATCCTCATACCTTCCCTCTCCCAAGCCCCCGCCTACAGCACCTCTCTCCTCTTCCCCCTTCTATTCTTCTTCCCCACTCTCCTCTCTTCCTAAACCCCACCTACCGCTCTTCCTTCTTTCGTCCCTCCCATCTCATACCCCTCCCCCTCCCTCCCAAACCACCTACCATGCTTGCCACCCCTCCTCCCCTTCCACCTACTTCCCCACCCTCTCTCCTCTCTCCCCCCTCCTCCTCCCCTCTCCCTCCTCATAACCCTCCCCTTCTCCCCCTGTTGCCATACCCGCTCCCCCCTTGTCTCCCTGTTGACATACCCCTACCCCCTACCCCCCCAGATGCCATCGCGAGTGGCACCCCCGCTTATCTCACGTGCCCAGATGCTCCGGCTCTCACACTTCCGCTGGTTTGCCGACGCGTGCTGGCGATAACGGAAATACATTTGCAGGCTTAGTCTTCTTAGTGACGTTGAGTGCGTTTCTACTTAGTGGGTTTATTACTTTTTTATTATTCTTATTCTTCTTCCTATGATTTTCTGGGTTTTCTAATTCTAATATCTAGCTTCATTTCAGTGTATTACCATCATTCCATCGTTATTTCACCATCTTTATTATTATTATCAAATTCAGTTTTTCTTTCCTTGATCAGTATTCTTTCTATTCCAATCGGCAATGATAAAAGATATATGTTATCCCTTTCTCAATTACACATTTATCAAATTCTAAATATTATACACCGTGTAAATAGCCTCAAATGTCCAGTCTCAATGTTTTCTGAAGAGAAAAGAAAATGATTACTAGTTTGTTATCTAATGATAACAAAGCTAATGATCCGATAACCACAAAAAGGCGCAAAAGATAGTAAAAGGCACAAAAGAAAATAATGAAATGGCTGCAAACATCTTCATCCCTAAAACTTTCCCAACACCAAGCCCTGGATTCGGACCTTACCAAACCATTCTCATTCTATTTTGTTTTGTTCTCTCTCTCTCTCTCTTCTCTCTCTCTCTCTCTCTCTCTCTCTCTCTCTCTCTCTCTCTCTCTCTCTCTCTCTCTCTCTCTCTCTCTCTCACACACACACACACACACACACACACACACACACAACACACACACACACACACACACACACACACACACACACACACACACACACACACAATATATACATATATATATATATATATATATATATATATATATATATATATATATATATATATAATATATATATATATATACATTAACAATAAAAGCATCCCCAGACACCTTCACCCTCAGACCCTCGCCGCCGCCCAGCCCAATATCCCCCAGCATCCCTCTCCTCCCAGATCCCGCAAAGCCCAACCACCTCGTCCCTTTTCAGAGGACACCAAACCAGCTCTTATTGCCGATGTCATTCACGGCAGATCGCTTCATGAACTCTGCCCATGGTATTTAGGTCAGACGTCGTCCGGGATCCCTGTTATTAAAAGGAGTTAAGCCGCGGGTAAATATGACGAAGCCGGTGTTAGAGGGTTAGCGTTCGGCCGCGGGAATCGAGGGGGATTCGACAGAAATTGGTGGCTGGAGTTTATTTTTTTAATTTGTTTATTTGGGATTGTTGTAGGGCTATTGATTGTGTTGTTATCAAAATCGTTATTGTCATGTTGATATTTTTAAAACTTATTTTTATATTATCATGATCATCAATTTTCATTTTTTTAAACTATATCTGTTATCGGTTATCACTATCATGATAATTGTTATCATTATCATATTTACTATCATTGTCATCACTAATGACTATTGTTATATAATGCTACAAATATACCATTATTGCATTCACTATTTACATGATAATGATAATATTTTCCGGTGTTCTCCGCTGGTAATCCTTTCAGCTGATGCAACAATTTCTTCATTTTCCACTTCTCTTTCCCAAAGATTCTTACCTCTTCGTTTTCTCTCTTCTTTATTCGTTTTCTTTTCCCCTCTTCCATGCTTCGATCTAATCCGGCTTATTTTCGCGTCTTTCTTGAATATATTTTCTTTTTTTCTGTCTCCATTATGTTCCATTTATTGGTTGTTTCCCTGTTCCCCCTTTCCATTTACCTTTCTTCATGTTTTGCTTTACTATTCTTGTTTTTTCTTACTTTTCTTTATTTTCTCTTTCTCCTTCTACACTCTTCTGGTCTATTTTTATTATTCATTTCCTTTTTGCTTCCCCCCTTTCTCTTCTCCCCTCGGACCATCTCCTTCCTTCCGCATATCTGTTCTTCCGTGTCTCTTTCTCTAGCCATTCGTTCCCTATTCCGAATTCTCTCCGCGTCTCTAATTCCTTTTTAGGAGACAATTAATGGATTTCAAGGCATTCGTTGTGGGTATTAGTGGAAAACTAATTTAATATAGAAATAGATTTCACTCGCGCGTCTTCTTATCTCTCGTCCTTCTCTGTTCTTTACACTTCATTTCTTCTTTCTTCCTCGCAATTTCACTTCGGGAAAAGGTGTGTATTTATTCGTATGTGTAAGTGTGTGTGTGTGTGTGTGTGTGTCTGTGTATGCATGTATGAGACAGAGAGAGAGAGAGAGAGAGAGAGAGAGAGAGAGAGAGAGAGAGAGAGAGAGAGAGAGAGAGAGAGAGAGAGAGAGAGAGAGAGAGAGAGAGAGAGAGAGAGAGAGAGAGAGAGAGAGAGAGAGAGAGACAGACAGACAGACAGACAGACAGACAGCCAACAGATAGATAGAGAGAGAATGAGAGAGAGAGAGAGAGACAGCCAAACAGATAGGGAGAAAGAGAGTAAGATCAGATAAATAATAACAATAAATTCACCTAACATTTCTCACTCATTACCATTTCCCTCATTTTTCGCCCTATCCTGTGTTCTTTCCCCTTCTCTTCTTCCCCTTTTCTCTTCATCTCTCAGGAACAGGAAGGAAGGGATACACGCGGTCAGTCAGCCTCTAGACACGAAGGAGGGATCAGGAAATGCGCCGAGGAAAGGGAAGAGCAATAATGGACAAGAGGTTGAAGGAAGTGGGAAGAGAGCTGAGGGAAAGGGAGAGATAAAGAGAGGGGGAGGGAGAGAGAAGAGGGAGGGAGGGAGGGAGGGAGGGAGGGAGGGAGGGAAGGGAGGGAGGGAGGGAGGAAAGGGAGGGAGGGAGGGAGGGAGGAGGGGGGAGGGAGGGAGGGAGGGAGGGAGGGAGGGAAGGAGAGAGGGAAGAGAGAAAGAGA